ATTTTGTTAGTTTCTCCCTCTTCCTGCAGCATCTTGAGATGTTCATCTTCCTTTTTATCTTTCCTTGCTTGTTCTTCATTTTCTTTAATCTTGGAATCTCCTTTATCTCTGGTCGTCTCGTTGCTTGCTCCTTCAGACTCCTGAGCAACCTCATTTTTATCATTGTCTATTCCTCCTCTATCCTTGCCAATAACTTGAACTTTAAATTCTGACTGCTTAATCGCTCCACCCTTAACACCACTTTGTACCTTCGGCCGTATCCAGCAGCAGTAAACTCCTGAGTCTGATACCTCAGCCATCGACTTGCTCAAGAGCAGATCCAGTCTTGCATCGTCCACATGTTTGCTTACAAGCTGGAAGCGGGAATCATCACCTTTCGTGTCACTCGCCAGATGAGCAATTGGATCCGCATTATAGGTCCACCACACGTCGTAGTCTGCTACAGACCGGTCCATCAAATCAAGGCGCGAGAAAAGTTCCATCGGTTTCCCTGCGGCGAACTCAAGCTCTGCGGTGGAGCTGATTTGCACAGGTCCGCTCTTTGTGGCTGTTATTGAGGGTAAGAGATAGCAAGGCTCAAAGCCAGCTTTCAACTCTTCTGGTGTAGGTGGATGGAAAGCCACAGGAATTGTCACCGAATGTGCAGCCAGATGGGCATGTCCAATGGGTGGTTGGAGAAGGCATGTGTAGACACCGGCTGAATCCTCGTCGATAGTCAAAAGCTGCAGCACAGCAACCTCGCCCTCCTCGTACATCTTGCACCTGTTACTTGGCTCCATTCGCAAGGTATTCTGGTACCATTCAACCTTTGCTGAGGACCAAGCGGCTTCATGCTCGAAGTCGTTGGTCGAAGAAAGCAGAGCTGCCTGCTCGCGGTCCACATGCACCTTTAACTCGAGCAGTTGACCCTCAGGCAGGTCGACGCTGTCGAGAATGGGTCGCAACGGCACCATGAGATCAGGACAGGTCGCACCACTTATGCTTTTGGTACCGACCTCGTAATTAACTGTCTCAGAGTCGTCAGATGTCAAGGAGGGAGGCGGTTTCACCACGGTCACTTGTAGGGAGACACTTGCTTCGGTGTTGTCAAATAAGCGGCCGCGACATGTGTAAATTCCAGAGTGACGGTCGGCCAGCGCTTTGGCTATCAGTAGACATGTATTACCGGCGGAGACGATAGCAGCCGCATCCAAATCCCGAGTAAGAGTCTTCCCATTCAGTAGCCAAAGCACCTCGAGGGCTACCGCGTGCGAGGTTGAAAAATTAACATTTAGCTGAATCTGTTCACCCTCCTGTACCAGAAGACTTTTAGTATCAGCAGTGAGCCGAATTTGGCGTTCTATTTAATGTGAAAACAGTTCGGATACAACATAAAAAATGTTATATTTAACAATTAATTTTTTGCATAAAATTTCCCGAACTGGTGAGTCAATGGCCACATCCTATTCAAGAGGAATTTTCGAATAAAGAACAGTAGGTTTACTAAGTAGTGCACTTTTTTATTTACTTAGCCTCACATGGGAAAATAACTAACCGCTTAATGAATATTTTTACACCTGTAAAGTCGATCCTCTGACCAACTGCCCGCTGAAGTGTTTATCAATATTTACTTTTTTCCACTGATAAAGAGCTTAAATAACCTGTTCCAATAGTGACACATTAGCTAATTTAATAAATTATTCTTGCCCCTTACCTATTTATTTAATCCTCTAAGTCTTTAGACCTGTTTTATAGTGTTAAAGAATTTACTAGGATAGTCATTTTTACCATAATAAAATCGCGTCCAGATGCAAGGTTTGAGAAGCAAATTAATTTGCTTTTCAATACTCTAATATTAGTATTGTGGTCATGGTTGGAAAAGAAGATAAAACTAAAGTTGTTTTAATTCAAAGACTAATCTAGTTATTTAAAAAAAATTAATTTAGCTTTTTTCACCTGGTTTTGACTTTTCTTGTTTTTGCTCGATAGCAGACGTTTCTATATCCCCATCAAGAGGGAGGGCTTCTTCTGATAAGGTCGTTACAGGCTCTTCGATGTTCTCCATGATAATTGTCTCTTTTATTGCAGGAAAGTAAGCTTTATCGACAGGAAATGAAAGACATTTAAACATATCGAATGTAAGATATATGGTTTTATTATTATCAATTTATAATTATCTCCTTTTAAAATCATTCACATCTTAATTACTATTTTTAATGGTCCGCTGCATCCAATCATGTGATATCTATTATAATTTAATGCATATAAAATATATTATGTTAGGGAGCATTTCAAAGCCCCTGTTATAGCAGGAAGTTAGGGGTAAAGTTATTTGATAAGAAAAGGCTTATATGTCTAATATATATAATATGGTCTAAAATATCTGTGATATGCCATGTGAACTCATCAGCTGGCAATCTTCTTAGTGTGGGCTAGGGAGTAACTCTATATGGATTACAATTCGAAATAAAGATGGTTTGTTTGCATGTATATCTTTTCCGTTGACTGAGATAAGTAGGAATGGCTTTAGAGATGACCTCATCCGTACCCTCTTATGATGCTTCCTTGTGGAATGTAGCAAATCAACGATTAATATGAATCATTCAATTAACAATTAATACTGAGTAATCTGCCTGAGGTGAAAATGGCTCATAGTAAGCATGAGGATTCTAGGGATACTTACATCCGAAATAAAGGAGATATTAACCAATCGCTGTCCAGGTTTAAAAGGAAAGAAACACTCGCATATAAATTTTTAGATAAAACTTTTATAAATACCCTCAGTTATAGAAATGGGCTGATCTCGTTGTTACAACTTGGTATTGTTGCCAGGGCGACTTAGTTGGACGCACCTAGTCCGAAGTCATCTGCCATAGTAGTTGTCATGATTCCCAGCATCGGACAGTGACTTGATACATTCTCAAACGTTTCGCCGGCATCGTAGTCGGCATCATCAATAAGCTTTGCCATTCTCCGCACCAAGCTACGAACTCGCCAAGGAGTCCACTGTCCGATGCTGGGAATCATGGCAACTACTATGGCAGATGATTTCGGACTAAGTGCGTTCTACATAGTCTCCCTGACAAAAAGACCAAGTTGCGAAAACGAGGTCAACCAACTTCTATAAATCGAAAGGAGACTGCGACCATAACAGAGTCCACAACATCTTGGTCTTCTAATATGCCCTCAGTTACATTTTTTAAAACATTACAAGGTTAATAAAATCTAAGTTGATTAATTCTATAAGATAATCGTAATTATTTGCAGACTGACTTAATTATAACTTTCTTAATCATACCTGATGTAGCAATACAGATAATTCGGGAGAGAGATGTCACCAGCTCCTCTGGTTCAGCTACGTCAGAGATGGCAGCCACTAAGCCATCAGCCAATGCAGCTTTGGATGCTCCAACTTGAGCCGCCAGAACCAAGGTTTCAAGATCTGTGATTGAGGCCTCCACATCAATCTCTTCACTTTCCGGTCCGACAAATTCGCACTCGTCTGCCTGCCGAAGCCTGGAAGCCAATCTGGCCTCTTCATGAGTTTTCACAAGCTCTTCGTCGACTCGGGCTTGACTCACATGCGAACTTTCGCTTTGGTCGGTCGCTGCACAATTTTCCCATTCAGAATTAATTTCAGGCCCACCAGTGTCACCACGGAGAGAGGGATCGGAAGATGCGGTGATCAGTGATGTTGCATTGTCGTCGATGCGAATAGTGGGGCACGTGTGGGCATCGGATGGCGGAGACGAGGACACGATGCCAGCAGGAGAATTGGTACAAATTGTGGTGGCGGTCCCAGACGACAGACCAGGAGTAGATTTAGGCAAGTTAGTTTGGCCAGCAAGACGCCGGGTGAAACGGAGATAAAGGTAGGTGATTAGGGATGTGGCAAATAAGACGGAGGCCGCCACAGTGGTGATGATAATCGAGTGATCAAGTTGACGGCGAGGCAACAGAAATGTGCCTGTGCCAAAAAGACTCGTGAATTCAAGCTTAAGTCTACAGTCAATCAGTGGGCATTGCACGAAAAAAGCCTATCAAATGATCGTAAAGAGGATAGGCGCAGATAGAATCATTTTGTTGCCATTCAGTCTCTGTACATATCAAAAGGAGCAGACCCGGTAAAGTTGGACTAAGCGTGCAGCTGTGTGATTGTGAATATGATTACAAGTATGAAAACATTTGTGTGTACGT